ACCATCATCATTTTATTATCATTACACTGAGCACCATAAGAGTTATAAGAAAAACAACATTTATTTCGCAGCTTAGTTAGCACTAATATACAAGTGAAGCAACCCGACACCTTAGAATTATTTTCATCATTTTATTACCGTCATCTTAAAAATCTTAACCATCACCATAATTTCAATCGTTATCAGCACTGATATGATCATCATCGTCGTCATCATCGTCGTCATCACCATTATTATTATCATCCCGATCGCCATCATCATCAGTTCTATCATTAACACCATCATCATCGTCGTCATCATCATCATCATCCTCAGAGGTAGGTAACCATGGTGAAACATCAATAATATAGCTGTGTGTTGGTTTGAGATGCATGCTAACGTACAATGAGATGAAGTAAAGAAGATGAAGATGACGACGACGACGATGATGACGATGATGATGATAATTGCGACTATACGAGTCCGTAAAAATTTATGGAATGTTCTTTGGATCGCTATTGTTCTAGATCCTTGCCATTGTATAACTTTCAAATAATAATCAAACAAAATGGTTTCTTTTTTAATTATAATAAGAAAATGGTTAGGCAGAAACAGAAATTTATTCCTCTTCTTTTCTTCTCTTTTTCTCCCTCTCCCTCTCTCTTTCTCTTTCTTTCTCTCTCTCTCTCTCACACTCTCTCTCTCTTTCTCCTTCAGTATTACATTTTCTACTTGGTATTTTTATATTTTTTAATCATCTTTAATATATTTTTTCAATCTTATATTATATAAACACACGCACACAGAAGCAGTCACCCGAGCACATACACAAACACACGCATGCACACACAAACATCCGCACATACAAACAAATTTACATACGTACATACATATGGTTTGCCGATATGGTAATATGAAAAGTACTGTATATATATATATATATATATATATATATATATATATAACTGGGCGAGATAGAACAAACCTTACTCATTAATTACTAATTACTAATTTAATTAATTACATACATAATTAATTACTTCAAATTACGTTTATTTAATTAGTAAATCAATTGATTGCGATTAATTAATCAATACTTCAAAACGCACTAATACTAATAGGATATAGTTATTTAATTATTAACATTAGTATGGGGTTATTATTATTATTGTTGTTATTATTATTATTATAGTTTTGAGAAATATTATTGATTTAATTATTATTAACTCTATTATTGTATTGCTGATATCATATCTAATTATGAAATGATATATAAATGATAATATTGGTTATAATAATAATAATAATATTAATAATAATATTTAGCAATAATAATAATAATAATAATTTTTGTAATAATAACAATAATATTTAAAACAGTTTTTCCATTGAAATTAGCATAACAATTTACTTTTTGCTGGAGAGTTCATCATAAGCATCATCGTCACAACCACCACCACCACCATCATCATCGTCACCACCACCATCATCATCGTCATCATCATCGCCATCATCTTCATCATCACCATCATTATCATCACAGAACGACATCTTTCTAATTGACAAAACATTGTCTCCTGTGCTGTCCCGCCCAACTACCATCGATTATTTAGAACTGAGGGACCTTAATCATCATCATCATCGTCGTCGTCGTCGTCATAGAAGTACCAACCACATTTTAGAATTGATTTTATTGGACCAAAAAATCGCCAGTCTAAATCTAACCAATAAAAATAAAATAAATTTTAAATTCAACCAATGGAAATTCTTATAATCTAATAAAAAATAGACTAATGAGAATCGATCAGTTACAAAGCTGGCCAATTAAAGACCGTCAATTTAGAATCAACCAATAGGAAGTAACCAGCCGATCACGGGACATGCCGTCTCGACGCTGTTTGGTTGCCCCGCAAAACACATTTGTGGAACATGTATCCAAATTGTGCTACACTCAAAGTAAGATGATGATGATGATGATGATGTTGATGATGATGATGGTGGTGGTGGTGATGATGACAAATTGGATATGTTAATAACAACTGATGACGAACATAAACTGTATAGTATTGATATCTTAAATTATTTGAAACTTATTAAGCATTTCAAAATCACACGGAGGCATGTAGATACGAATTAACTTAGTAAGAAGTACCTTTACTCACGCACACAGACAAACACACTCACAAAATACACACAGACAAATATACACACACAGACAAACACACACAGACAAACACGCGCACACAGACAAACACACACACACAAACACACAGATAGCACATTTCTCGTAGCCAACGCACGAATATTCGACAATCCCATCGTCTATGTGAGCGATTGTTTCTGCGAATTAACCGGTTTCAGCAAATTCGAGCTGCTACAAAAGAGTTCATCCCTTACTTGGATGCACGGAGAGCTAACAAGTGCCGAGTCGATTCATCGGTATAAGCAAATCCTCGAAAGTGGTGTGTCGGATCAGGTAGAGATGTTACTGTATCGAAAATCCGGTCGGTATTGTGACATTTCTTTTTTCATTCATTTGCTAATTTGTTAATGTTTCTTTTAATAAATTATCTAAATTTATCTCTAATGATCGTTCATTCGCACTCGTAATCATTTATCCATCAGCGCATTTAGCCATAGTTTATTCACTTTTTTAAAAATGTTAAATGTAGATTAGTTTGTTTGATTCATTTTTTGTTTGTTCGTTCATTAATTAATTTATCCATTCATTCATTCACTCACTCATTCATTCACTTATTCATCTCCATCATCTTCTTTTCAACCCGCCACCACCACCACCACCACCACAAGCAGCCAAGCCGACGTGGTTGTCGTTGCGAGTGGTCCCGATCAAAAGTGAGAAGAGCAGCATCATCCTACTGCTCATCATCGTCAAGGATGTCACCATCCTCAAACAACATGTCGAAACTGATAACGCTAGTTAGTTTGTGTGCGTGTACGTGTATATATATATATATATATATATATATATATATGCGCGTGTGCGTCGTTTTAGTGCGTGTGTTTTTTGCGTAAAAATCAAACACTGCCTGTCGGTGCGATACAAAAATTGAGCGTACATTCAAGGCTAACGTGTATGTACGACCAATAGTACAAACGCCATGAAAACTCATTGTTTACTGACACGCACACACACGCGCGCGCACGCACACACACACTTACACACGTACACACAGACAGACACACACACGCACGCACACACACACACGACTAATTAAGAAAGTTCTTTAGCGGGGAACATACCTGTGGCGTCAGAGGAGCAGAGCATTGTTGGAAAGGAAAATAAATATTTCAAAACTTAATCGTTGACAATAATAAATTTATTTTTACTACCAATTCATACTGTTTATTTTTGTTACTATTATTGTTATTATTATTGTTTTAAATGTTATTATTATTATTATTATTGTTGTTGTTATCATCATTGTTGGTGATTGACGTACGTTTATAACCTACCTACATGCGATTGTAATCATCGTCAGCATCTCGCCACCAGAATCGTCATCATCATCATCACTACGAAATTCCTCATCATCACTATTTTCTTCTTCATCATCATCATCCTCAACACCATCATCATCATCATCATCATCCACATCATCATCATTTTCATCATCTTCATCTTCTTCGTCATCATCATCATCATCATCGAGATCATCAACGAGATCATCATTATCATCATCGAGATCATCATCATCAGTACAAAGCAAATGGCTGCGTCTGAATCGTGCTGATTCCTACGCATATGCGTGTGTAATGTGGTGATGATGATGATTGATAATTAGTTTGATCATCATCATCATCATTGTAATCATCATCATCCATTAATCATCATCATCATCATTTTAATCATCATCATCGTTGTTGTAATCATCATCATCATCATTGTAATCATCATCATCTTCAGCACCTTCTTCTTCCTCTTCTCCATCCAGACGCAGGTTTAAGCAAGCTAGCCCGCTTTGCCACACTGATGACGCGTTTGAAAACCTTACAGCCACAACTCAGCGGTCACAACAGTCTCCTGAGTCTCAACAACATCAACAAAAATAACAACAACAACAAAAATAAAAACAACGACAAAAATAACGACAACAATAGTAGTCTCAACAAAGTCAACATTTTCAACAGCAACCACATTGACAACCGCTTCAACAAAAGTGCCGTCAACACGAACAACAACAACAATAATAACAACATTGATGACATTAACAACAACAACAACAACAACATTGATGACATCAACGACAATGTAAATAACAACAACAACAATGGCATTGACAGCAACGACAACCAAAAAGGTAAAACCGACACAATAGCTATGCAATACATAAACAACAACAATAACAACAACAACGACAACAACAACAACATAATATCAACATCATCAACGAAATTAAGTAATGGCAAAGTTGCCGTATGTTCAAATTCATCTACCATTTCAAAAACGCCATTTGAGAACGTTAGCCAGTTTTTTGCTTGTTGTTTATCGGTTGTTATTAGTTCTATTATTGTTATTATTATTATTGTTATTGTTGTTATTGTTGTTTAGTTGATCTTGTAATTTCGTAATAACGAAATTATTAATAATAAATGAGTTTTGTTTTTTAAATAACTGTGAAGAATAACGAACACGATGGCATTAATAACAATAATAATAACAATAATAATAACAATAATAACATTAATAATAAAAATAATGACGATACTCATTATCTTAGAAGGCATTAAATAACGAATTTTAAAAATCAGATCATCTATGCAAAACCAGCCCCGAGACATCAATTGAAAAACGGTTACATCAATGAGGCTTTAATCGACAGCAGCAGCAGTAACAACAACAACAGCCACAACAACAGTCACAACAGCAACACAACAAACAGCAACAACATCGTCACAGCCATCAACAATCGCAACAACAAAACCAACCTAACTACAATAAACAACAACAACACAGTCAACAACCACGCCGACATCAATAACTACATAACAACAACAGCAGCAACAACAACAGCAATAACGATCGACAACAACATAACTCCAATCCCGACCTACAAGCAGGAACCGCCTGTAACACCTCCAAACATCATCCTTCATTACAGCTTTTTCAAAACAACTTGGGATTGGATTATCCTGATTTTAACCGTGTATACCTGTATCCTGACACCCTACTCTGCCACATTTTATAACAGCCGAAATCCCAAAATGCTCGTATTAACGATCTTTGATAACTTGATTGACGTCATTTTTGCCCTGGACATACTTTTGACCTTTCACGTGACGTTGGTTGGACCGTCTGGTGAGGTCATTTCCGATTATAATATTATCAGGAAGACTTATCTGAAGAGGTTGTTGTTGTTGCTGGGATTTTTTGTTGATCCTGTTAATAATAATAATAATAATAAAAATAATAATAATAATAATACTCGTCATCATCATAACAATCATAATCATCATCGCTGTCCTAACAGTTGGTTCATTGTTGACCTAATCGCCTGCCTGCCGTATGACTTCATTTCCGTTCTATCAACCAATGACGTTAGTCCTCTATTCGTATGAATGACGTCATTGTTATTATTGTTGTTATTATTATTATTATTATTATTATATATCATTAATAATTTTTGATTGATTTTATTTTGATTTTATCTTTTTGGTCAATAAAAGATTTTCCACATTATGATTAATCCGCCGTATAATTAAGTCAATTAACCAACTTTGAAAAGCAATCATTATCATCGTAGTAAGTCTCGTCATCGTTATCATCATTAACAAAACAAAATCATTATCGTCACTTTTGTAACCTTTATTATTTCGATCATCATCATTTCAATCGTAACTTCTTTAATCATATTAATCACTCCACTCATTGCTGTCGTCATCTCTAGGACTACATAGACATCGTAAACGAGTTGAGTCTAGCGAGGATGTTACGAATATCGAGAGTGGCTCGGTATTTGGACTCGTATGTCGAATACGGAGCTTCGGTACTCGTTTTACTCATCGCCCTATTCGTACTCGTTGCTCATTGGTTCGCTTGTATTTGGTATAGTATCGGTTATAGCGAGTCCGTGAAAGGTCTTTGTCTCTGTTGTTGATGTTGTTGTTATTGCCATTGATGTTTTTGATGTTGTTACTAATGTTGTTGTTGATGTTGTTGTTTATGTTGTTGTTGATGTTGTTGTTTATGTTGTTGTTGATGTTGTTGTTGTTGATGTTGTTGTTGTTGTTATTGTTATTGATGTTTTTGATGTTGTTACTAATGTTGTTGTTACTGATGTTGTTGTTACTAATGTCGTTGTTGATGTTGTTGTTGATGTTGTTGTTGATGTTGTTGTTTCGAAATTCATGTCTTTGACGTTAAAAAATTTTTTTATTAGCAGCATCGTCATCATCATCATTACAATCATCAACATCATCATCATCGTCGTCCTCTTCATCATCCTCGTTGTCGTCGTCGTCATCGTCATCATCATCGTCGTTGTCGTCGTCGTCATCATCATCAGGAATGAAGAACAGTTGGTTACAGCTGCTAGGCGAAAGCATCCACATGAACTTCACCCTGGTAAACGTCAGCGATCGCTTGCCACAGAGCAGCAGCAGCAGTAGCAGTAGTGGTGGCGATAGTAGCAGCAGCAGTAGTAACAGTATTAGTGGCAGTAGTGGCAGTAGTAATATTGATACTGGCGTCAGTAATGATGATGATTCCAATGTTCATGAGGTTTTTATAAAAAAAATGAGCTTTCATTATTATTTTCAAAAATCGTCAATGATAACAACGAATGATGTACTAGAATCAATTTATTTTCACTGTAATATCACATAAGTATTCGAATCGATTATACCCGACCGATTGGTTAGGTGTGGGCCGGCGGACCCGACGAAATGATGAGTTACATGTCTGCATTCTACTTTACACTATCGAGTATGACGACAATCGGTTTCGGTAACATCTCTGCTTCGACCGATGCCGAAAAGATATTTGCATGTACCATGATGATATTTGGATGTTGGTGATTGTCGGTTATGTTTGTTTGTTTTTTGTTTGTTTATTTGTTTGTTTGTTTGTATGTATGTATGTCTGTTTTGTTTGTTTGCATGTTTTTTGTCGCTTAATTGTTTGTTTGTGTTGTTTGTTTATAATAAGTTAAATTATTTTAAATATATTTTTTTCAATTGTATTTTCAAACAAAAATTTTCTTAAAACGTTTCAATTGTTAGACTTCTAATTCAAGTATATTTTGTTGTTGTATAAATAAAATGTGTTGAGTTATCATCATTAATGCCATTTAATGTTTAATTAATGTTTAATTAATGTTATATTAATGTTATTTTAATGTTTAAATGATGTTATATTAATGTTGCTTTAAGGTTAAATTGATGTTACATTAATGTTATAACACTTTAACATAACATTGCAACATGTTAGCTCTGTTATACGCCACTATCTTTGGCAATGTCGCGACAATCATACAGCAGATGAATTCAACATCTGGCCGGTTTGTTGACCATAAGAACGATTACAACAACAACAACAACTAAAATAATAAAAATTATAATAATTATACTTATGATTACGACAATATTATTATCATTATTATTACTATTATTAATATTATTATTATTATTTAATTCAGTAAACAATGACTTTGAATGGTTCTTATTGAAATTAATTCAGTAGTTTGTACATCAAAAAGAAAATTTTATAAAATTTTACATATTACAAAGATCAGAGAAAATAAATTAATCTGTTGAAAACAACAATAACAACATTAAAAACATTAAAAAAACAACAACAACAACAACAAACAACAACAAACGAACAACTTAGATACCATGAGATGTTGAAGAACGTGAACGAGTTCATGGCCCTGCATGGCATTCCTGATGAGTTGAGCGAGCGAATCATCGACTTCATCGTCTCCACCTGGTCCATTACCAGAGGAATTGACGCTGAAAATGTAGGTCTTCAACATTTTTCCCTTGCAATAAGTCTTTCCTAGCAATTTTTTACGAAAAATCCTTAAAAACCTTTTTGTCAATTTGTCACCGTCATTATTTTTTTCTTCCTAATCAATATTTTTATCGTCGTTACAACGAACCCATCATCATCATGATCATCATCACCTCTCTATAATGACATCACCATGACGTCACAAGGTACTCAGCTACTGTCCTGCCGACATGCGGGCGGACATCTGCGTGCATTTGAACAGAAAAGTTTTCTTCGAGCAGTCGGCGTTCCGACTTGCAAGCGAGGGGTGTCTGAGAGCCCTGGCCATCCACTTCAAACTGAGTCACTGGGCCCCAGGGAACATGTTATTCCATCAGGGAGAGAGCCTCGAGTCCCTTTGTTTCATCGCATCCGGAACACTGGAAGTCGTGCAGGACGACGAGATTGTCGCTGTCCTCAGTAAGCAGCTGCTGTGGCTGTTCCATACAAAAGATGTTTTGATCTGTATTTTGATATTTCTACTCGCTAGGTGCTGGGGACTCGCTCGGAGACATATTTTGGCGGGAAGAAACGATCGGATTGTGCAGCGCAAACGTCAGAGCACTGACGTACTGCAACCTGCACATCATCGGTGACCTGCTAATTTATTTGTTCATTCATTCCTTTATTCTTTTATCCATTCATTTATTCCTTCATTCATTTTTTTATTCATTCACTCTTTCGTTCATTCATTCATTCATCTATATACAAACTTTTACAACAGATAGGAATTCGTTATTGGAGGTCTTGAGATTCTACCAATCATTCGCAAATTCATTCGCCAGGAACTTAAAACTCACCTACAATCTCAGAAAGAGAGTGCGAAATATTGCTTTCATTTATTTATTTCATTTAATTATTAAATAATAAAAATATGAACTTACTAATATATTGTTTATTTAAGTGCAAAACATTAAATCATGGGATTGTCTGCCCGATGTGAATGACAAATCCATAAAAGATACGTTGGTGACCAGATTTTTAGTAATTTAGGCAGCTCCAATTCTCCGTGAGTTATTATCATTGCAACTTTCAGAATGTTAAGTAGATGGTGAAAAAGTTTCTGATTTTAAACCAAGCCTGAAAGATTGTAAAAATTTCAAAAAAAAATCCCAAAAGTAAAATAAATTTGACATCATCATGGTCTGTTTTTTTATCTTGGTCATTATCACTCACTCAAATCATCATCTTCATCTTCACCGTCATCATTTCAACCTCAACTCCACCATCATGTTCATTATAACTCTCGTCTCCACCACCATCATCTTCCATCATCATCATCATCTTTCATCATCATCATCATCATCTTCCATCATCATCTTCCATCATCATCATCATCTTTCATCATCATCATCATCATCATCATCATCATCATCATCTTCCATCATCATCTTCCATCATCATCTTTCATCATCGTCGTCGTCATCATCATCATCATCATCATCATCATCCAGTTTGTCTTCCGCAAACACGCTGACCTAATGAAGGAGCAAGAGCTGGCAGAGCGAACCAAGAACAAACCTTCGATTGACCTTTCCGTCAATCATCCGGTCAGGAAATTATTTTCAAAATTTAAAAAATCAAGCGTCACCAAAATTAAAACCTTCAAAGAAATCATGGACGATAAGCCGAGCAGTAACTTCAGTTACAGTACTCTGAAAGGTTCGGAGGTCAGCGGAAGTTACGAGTCGGATGTCGAGAGTAACTATCCGGCGGATATGGAAAAATACCGACAGAAGAGATTCGGTAGCATTCCTATCGGTACGATTGAAGAAAATGGCGACTTTCATCTGGAAAACAACAACAACAACAACAAAACCAACACAAATATCTTTCCAACAGCAGCTAAGAGGATGTCCCTATGGAAGCTTGGAGTCGATAAGCATAATCGCTTTGTTGATTCAACTCTATCCTGCACCACATCAACAACTATGACGTCATCATCAACAACACCATCATCATTAACAACAACAATTTCAACCAGTACTACAACTACTGCTACAACTACATCTGTGATAAGAACCTTCACAAAATTAGCAAACTCAGAAAAGTTGAGCAACCCAGACGACGATAAAAATCCTAGTGGCAATAAAACCTTCCCTATTTACAACGATTTGATTAACAAAGTGAACAACATAATTGACAACAACGGTAACGAAATTTCAAACAGCAGTTTTAACAACAACAACAACAATTTCAACAACAACACTCAATCAATATTTGGTGCACCAAAAACAAAGAAAAAATGGGGTAATATTCTAAGACCTTCATCGAAACCCCCTCCAATAGCAACATCAACAACAGCAACAACAACATCAACTGCAACAACATCAACTGCAACAACAACATCAACAACAACATTAAAATCAAAATTCTTCTCGAAAAAAACAACCGACAAATCAGAGAATGTCGACACGGCACCAATCAACCAACAACTGCAAACAATCAACTCGCAAATACTTTCGTTGCTTTCATTTATGAGCAAAAATTGCACCAATAATTACATCAATAACATCAGAAATGACGTTGAAGATAACAATAATAACATCAATAACATGGGCTCAGACATTAACAGTAACAACCTTTGCAACGACAATAGTATTAACAACGTCATCAATAACTACAACAATAACGATGACGACAACGACAACGGCAACTACAACAACGTCATCAACACTAATTTAAGCAACAACAACAACGACACAGGTAAGAACAACATTTGTAAGATAGATATACCCAACTATAATAATACTCTGATCAATATCAGTAATGATAATAACGATACTAACAACAACGATAATGATAATTATAGTACTTTAGAACCAGATAAAAACACACAACAACAACAACTACAACAACAACAAACGTATCTAACCAAGCTTTCAATAAAACAACAAAAACATTTGAACGATGACAAAATACTATCATCAACAACAACAGCAACAACATCAACATCTATGACATCCAAAACGTCAAATACATCAACATTAATTACATCATCATCATCTGAAACATCAACATTAAATACAGCTTCAACAACAACAACAACAACAGCAGCAACAACAACTGCATAACCAACATTAATTTATTTTTGTCTTAAATGGAGAAATTTATTTTAAAATGCTAGGAAATATGAACAATATTTATGTTTATATTTTATGTATATATTTGTATTAATGTTATCATAAATAAATAAATATTCATTATACAGAATAGTGTGTGTGTGTGTTTGTTTGTTTGTGTGTGTGTGTGTGTGTGCGCGCGCGCGCGTGTGAGTTTGTTGTGACAAACATTATGAAATAATTATCAAATTCTTTCATTTACATTTTTATCAAGTCAATAATAATAAAATTAAACTTTAGATTACTGTGTATTTTTCCTCTTATGACATAATAATAATGATAATAATAATAATAATAACAACAATAATAATAACAACAATAATAATAATATTATTATTATTATAAATACTAGAGCGTTAACAAACAGAAAAGCAACAACAACACAAAAACAATCGACCAACAAACCAATTCCCATAGCTATAACACTTCTGGCTTGTCACCATTGTTTTTAACGTGACCATCATCATCATTATCATCATCGTTATCATCATCGTTGTATTCGTTATCGTTATCATAATCGTCACCGTCATCATCATTATCATCATGAACATCGTCATCAGCACAAACGAAATTCAACAAACATTTTCAAATACAATGCAAATTCAATCGTCATTAGAGAGAAACATAATTAGAGAGGGAGAGAGAAAGATAGAGAAAGATAAAAAAAGAAAGAGAGAGAGAGAGAAACAGACAGGCAGAGAATGAGACAGAAAAATTTAAAGAAAAAAAATCAATGGCATATTATAAGTGAGTGTGTATGTGTGTGTGTGTGTGTGCGTCTGTGTTTGTGTGTATGTCTGTGTGTGTGTCTGTGTGTGTATGTGTGTGTGTCTGTGTATAGATTGAAAATATTAATAGAGACACATATTAATCCGTAGCAGAAAGCAGCAGGATGCCGACTAATTAATGATAATACGGGCCAGTAATATGGTGATAATGATGTTTTGTTGCTGAGGTTGTTGTTGTTGTTGCTGATGTTGTTGTTGTCGTTGTTGTTGTTGATGTTGATGTTGTTGATGTTGTTATTGTTGATGTTGTTGATGTTGATGTTGTTGTTATTGTTGATGTTGATGTTGTTATGGTTGATTTTGTTGTTGTTGTTATTGTTGATTTTGTTGTTGTTGTTGATGTTGTTGTTTGTTGTTGTTGCAATTGTTGTCATCATCATCGTCATCATCATCATCGTTATCATCATCATCATCGTTATCCTGATCGTTATCATCATCAACATCGACAATGAGTTAATTGATTGTCTGGTTAATAATCTCATTAGTCCCTTATTAGTTGACGTTCCAATGAACAAGACTTATGAATATTGCCAACTGTCTTTATGACGATGATGTTGATGATGATGATGTCGATGATAGTGGTTATGATGATGTTGATACTGATGATGATGATGTCAATGATGGTTAGGATGATGGTGGTGGTGATGATTATGACGTCATCATCATAATTTTTTTTATTCTTCAAAGTTGTCATTTTTAAAATTTTCAAACTACCACTGTCATCACTGACGTCATTGCCATCTTCATCGTCATCATCATCATTGTTACCATTATCACCACTATCATCATCATCTTCATCGTCATCATCATCATCATCATCGTCGTCGTCTTCTTCATCGTCATCACCTTTTTTCATTTTTGTCAGCTTGTATGACACTTGAAAGTCCTTCAAACAAATGCATGCATTACTGAAAGAAACAGACAAACACACATATGCGCACGTACATGTACGCACAAATACACACACACATATACACGCACACACACACACACACACACACATATATTATATACAAAGATGAACATGTATACAAAATACTTTTTTACCAAACATGCCTTCATTCTTACATACCAAAAACATACATGCATAAAAAACAAACAGCTCAAATGAACAAGCAATAGATACAAACATACAAATAAACAAACAAACAAACATACAAACAAATATACATGTGTGCGAACAAACGTAAAAAAACATACAAACATGCAGACATACAAATGTACCAAAGCCAGTTGATGCGCTAATAGTTCAAATCCAATCCACGCTTCTTAACGCCTAACTCAATTATTCATACACATACATACATACATACATACATACATACATACATACATACATACATACATACATACATACATACATACATACATACATACATACATACATACATACATACATACATACATACATACATACATACATACATACATACATACATACACACATACATACATACACATATACATACATACATACATACATACACACATACATACATACACACATATTTTCATATAACAATGGCATTGCCACATCGACGCCGTCTTCATCATGCCTTAAATAACAACGTCGCTAAATCATTATCAGCACCTTAGACATTATTATTAATTATTAATAATTATAATTGTAATTAATATTTATTCAAATTTTTAATTATTATCACCACATGCAAGCAGTGGTGGATCTGGTAGAGTGGGAAGACAATGGCCTACCCGAGCAAGCATTATTTTCATTAGACATCGGTAAAACTCGGTTTTTAGTAAAAAAACATCCACCAAAATTGACGTAATAAACAAAAAATTATCAATTAGCAACTTAACAACACACTATAGTTCGATTTTTGTGAATGTGGCGCTGATATAGCGAATTAGGCTGGTGGTTGTTACTAGATTCTTGCAGTACACAATCTCCTAAGAATGGAAATGTATGATTTGATAACGGGAGTCACGGCTTTTT